CCTTGGGGCCCACAGACAGTCTGGATGGCACACCCCTCCGCACCCGCCCGGCCCCCTGCCTGCCTGGCCCTGGGCAAGTGCCTGCCTGTGTGCCCTCCAAGGCCGGCAGTGGGGTGGGGGGATGGGGGGGCATTAAAGCTGACTTTGGACTTTCTCATCCTGGTCAGGCTCTTCTTTGGCTAATAACCATCCCTCTCGGCAGGAAAAGGAAGAACCTGCTCTTGGTGCTACCTCAGGCAGGAGCCAGGTTTTAGTCTTTTTTTTTTTTTTTTTTTTAATATATATCTTATTTTTATTGATTTTTTTACAGAGAGGAAGAGAGAGGGATAGAGAGTTAGAAGCATCGATGAGAGAGAAACATCAATCAGCTGCCTCTTGCACACCCACTATTGGGGATGTGCCCACAACCAAGATACATGCCCTTGACCGGAATCGAACCTGGGACCTTTCAGTCCGCAGGCCGACGCTCTATCCACTGAGCCAAACAGGTTCCGGCCCAGGTTTTAGTCTTGGTGCAGCCAGATTGATCCAGCCACGCAGGACCTCAGACTCCTCACCACCTTCCTCCACCTTTCACAACTCCAACAAAGCCCTTCCCACGTCACAAGGCCCCAAAGACTCGGCTCCACTCCTCTCCGAGTCTCCGCTGTCCCCCTTGTCCTGCTGCTCCGCACCCCAATGGCTCAGAGTCCCTCCAGCAAGTGGGCCACTGCCGCCTTGGGCCTGAGTAAACTGCTCTTCACCCAAATGTCCCCACAGCTCCCTCCCTCCCTCCCTTAGGGCTTCCCTCCCTCCCTCCCTCCTTTAGGGCCTCCCTCCCTCCTTCCCTCCCTTCCTCTCTCCCTCCCTCCCTCCCTCCCTCCCTCCCTCCCTCCCTCCCTCCCTCCCTTAGGGTCTCCCCTCCTCCTCCTCCCCCTCTTCCCCCTCTTCCTCCCCTCCTCACGTAGTCCTGCTCTGCCCTTTCTGTTGTGCTTGTTTGGTGAGCACCTCCATCGGGCTGTGCTGCTGTCACAGGTGTTCTGGTCTGTTCCCAGAACACACCGCAGCCACAGGGAGGCACCGCGCTAGCCCACACAGACCCCAACAGGTCCCAGAACCTCCTCCTGACCCTGACAAACCAGGAGCAGGCATTTAACCAGGGAGAGTGCTGGAGAGGCCCTGGCCCTGTCTGCCTGAGGCTCCAGCACCACCGGCTGGACTGCGGCCCCGCCTCGGGGAGCGCACTCCCCGCCCCCCCTGCCCCTCCGTCTCCGCATCCCTCCACTCCGCAGGAGCAGCCTCGGAGGGCGGGCAGCCCCTCTGGAGCCCTGCTTGGAGCCCCTCACTAGCAGGGCTGGGGACACACCTCTCCCCTCGAGTGCTCTCCCTCCTGGGAGTCCCCCACTCCCTGCCGGGCCTCCTCCTTCTCACTGGAGGAGCCCAGGTCTGTCCTCGGCCATCTGGGCTGCTGGGCTTTTGGAACAAAACCAATGACCTTGGCAGGAAAGAAGGCAGACTCAGCTGTTCTGTTTGTTTTTAAGACACTTTGATGAAGGGACTAGTGAATGTGGGCATCAAGGAACCCAGCCCAGTGTGAGGCACCCTGGGACGAGCAAGGGGAAGGGAAGAGGCCAGTGAGGGGTGACAGCAGCCGCTATAATGGGGAGGCCCAGCCATCACCAAAGCTGTAGGTCGGGAGCTAGTGAGAACCACCTAGCCTCTCTCCTCTCCCATCTCTGGCCAGGGCCTCCCAGTGGCCACATCCAGCCAAAAGCCGGGCCCTGGGAGCCGAGTGATGCCCTGGGCACAGAGCAGGTCAGAGCAAGATGCAGGGAGGGGAGGCAAGGGACCCAAGCAAGGCCAACAGGAAGGGGTGCCCCCAAAGCCTCCCAGCGAAGTCCGAGCTGGTGAGCATCACCTGTGTGACTGGGAGGACGGGCACAACCAACCCATCACCAGGAGGGCTCAGAGCCAAGCTCAGGCCTGCAGCCAAAGCCAGCACTTGCAAAGTCACCCCCACCCAGCCAGAGGCCCTAGACCCCAGACACTCCAGAAGCATGGATTTTTCATGCCCCTGCTTCTCTAACCAACACCTCCCAACATGAAACCGAGGGCAAGGCATTTGATTGGCTAAACCAAGGTCAAGTGCCAGCAACCAAACTTAAAGAAAGCCTGGGAGAGCAAGCACCCCACATTCCAATTAGGGGGAAACCACAAAGTTGGCGAAAGGTTTCCCAGGCTGGGTAGCCAGCAATGCCCACAGATAACTTTTTCAAAGTCAGTGTCCTTCCCACAGTATTCCAGACTGGGAACGATGGCAAAAATGAGACATTTTGGGGGTCTAGCAATCTGAATCTGTGCCATTAACCTAATACACATTCTTATTAGCCTATAGTCTAGTCGCTGCCGCTTTAATTGCCTGGGCCTGCAGACCTGGTTACTCCCATCTTAGAGAGGCCATAAGCCACCCCCAGGCAGAGTTATCAGTGCTGGGCCAGGCCAGGCCTTTGGTTGATTTCTCAAGGCCACAGATCACAGGTCTCTTAAAGAACTTGCAAAGGGGACCGAAAACACCCTTATTTGGGAGAAAAGAACTGGAAAAAGTACTAATAGAAAAAGCTTCCACCATGTTTTTGCCCAGAAAGTTGAAAGACATTTTTCTCTGGGCCCAATAATAATAATAATAAAAAAGTGTAACTCCGTTTCTCTAAGCATTGATTAGTTTCTCTCCAGTCTTCTGTAACAGGATCCTGGTCCCTGACCTTGGTACATGTCACCAAATTTCTCTTCCCAATGCCCATTCACATGTCGCCCAGTGAGCAGACCACTTTGCAGCAACTATATATATATTAAACTAATAGGCAAGTCCTGGCCGGCATGGCTCAGTGGTTGAGCATTGACCTGTGAACCAGGTCACAGATCAATTCCTGGTCAGGACACATGGCCGGGTTGTGGGAGTGTGCAGGAGGCAGCTGATCAAGGATTCTCTCTCACCATTGATGTTTCTATCTCTCCCTCTCCCCTCCTCTCTGAAATCAATAAAAACGTATTTTTTAAAAATAAAATACTTAAAAGAACATTAATAGGCAAAATAAGGTCGATATCTCATTGCTTGATTTTTCTTTCTTTTCTGGTTCCTTTATTAGTTGTATTCTGCAAAAGCCTTTGATACTTGGCTTAGATCACATTTTTGTTTCAATGGCCGATTTTCCAAGATTTCCTTTTTGTAGCCGGTGCTAAAATCAGCTGGCATTTGCACTTGGTTTCCATTCAGCAGTGGGAACAGGAAAAAGAGCCTTAAACTAGATCCACATTTCTTTCGCTTGCACGTGAAATAGGCCTAGAGGTCAGGCCAGAGCTGGCCCTGGGCCGCTCCATGGCGCTGGCAGGACCCACGCCTCTGGACACCCGGCTAGCACCCGGCGGCCTCGTCCTCAATGTCTAAGGCGGCAGCTGGCACTCCTACATCCTGCCCAGTGACAGGACAGGGGCAGAACCCACCTTTATGGCACTGCTGTTTGCATCTTGTTGGCAAAATCCAGAAATGTGGCCGCACTGGGGCTGGGCAGCCGAGGCTCAGGCCGAGGGAGAAGGGCCGAGGGCAGGCCACCATCCCGGGGGCCAGCGGGGCTCGCCTTCGGGATCAGAGGGGGCCTGAGGCACAGCTGCTTTCTTACTTGGTGCTTCTGGATATTTCCTTTGGCCATGCACTCAACAAAGGTTCTTTTACAACACACCACATTTGCGATGGACTGGCTAAGGCCCGTTTGCCTCTCGTTGAGGGCAGATATCGTATCCCCAGCAGCCCGCGCCGAGTGCCTGCTCAGAAGACATTTGGTCTATGAAGGAGGGCTGTGCCAGGCTTCTGTGCCAGGCTCTGGGACGGGTGCTGAGGGTGCAGAGTGAGACCTGTCCTTGGCACTCATGGCCAACAGAGGAGGCCGACAGAGGCCACCAGAGCAGGGAGGCCAGGAGGCTGGTGTGGCTGGGCTGGGCTTTATGAGCTTCAGGCAGTAAGGTCCTTAGGTACACGACTTCAAGTTCCTCTCAAGCCCAAGGGGAGGAAGGGATGTGGCCTCAACCTTGAGGCTGAAGGAGCCCCTGGTGGCTTTCAGCAGCAGGGGGGCCCGAGCAGCAGAGAGGGGTACAGAGCAGCGGGGTGGGGGGTAGAGAGCAGGAGGGGGCCAGAGGGGGGGACAGAGCTGCAGGGGCTCCAGAGCAGCAGGGGGGACAAACGGGGGAACAGAGCAGAGACCAGAAGAGCTGGACCAGCGCCGGGGAGCGGGCTAGGAGGCCAGTCACGGTGACACCAGGAGCGCGGGTCCTCAGGCCGGTTGGCAGCGGACAGATGGCTACATGGGGCGAGAAGGGAAGGGGTGGTTTTGGGGCTGGAAATGATGCGATGGCCTAGAGGGGAGTCTGATGTTGGATAGGAGCCAAGTGAGGGTCTGAGGAAAGGGGGGGGACAGTGCATGGAAGACAAAGGAGGCCCTGTGCTGTGCCGGCCAGACAGGCCCCGGGGGAGTCTGGGAGGGAGGAAGGGGCTGGAGGGCCCTGGCTGGAGCTGGGGCTGGAGCAGACAGCAGTTGGACGCCTGCAAGCCGTGCTCATGGCTTAGCAATGCCCCGGCCCTGCCAGGAGCCTGCGGACCCTGCCGCCTCCAGCCCACCCCAGCCTGGCCAGACACAGGGGCTCTGAAGCTGTGCCCCTGGGCCTCCCCCAGCAGAACCCAGGTCCGTGCACCCCCCATCCCAGCGGTGACGCAGACCTGGGAAGGAGGGAGAAAGGAGACCATCTTCGGCCGAGCAAGTGAGAGTTAACGTCGCGGCGTCTAGCAGACAGGCCTAATGAGACCCAGGTGGTCCCCTGGCTCCGGCAGACGCTGGTCCGGCGCCCGGCGCGGGGAGGGGGCTCTGCGGCTCCAGGGCGGGCCCGGCTGCTGGCGGGGGCCCAGCACATAACTCGGCGCGGTCGCCGTCTGGGGCAGCAGACACCCAGCCGCTCGGAGCCGAACTGGCAGCATGAAGGTACGGCCCTGTGGGGACTGAGCCCTGTTTGGAGGACCCTGGCCAGAGAGGGGACGGGGACCGCATGGGGCTTTTGATGCAGCCCGCTGTCTCCAGGGCGCGGGGCTGGCCCAGAGCGGGTTCCTGGCTGGTTGGTATGTTGGGGAGGTGGGGGGGGGGGGTGCAGAGAAAGCAGGGGGCTCTGGCATCGGAACAACTGTGCTGAGGACCCCAATTTCCTGCCACCAGACCCTCCTGGTCCTGCTGCCGCCGCTGCTGCTGCTCTCCACTCCCCAATGTGCCCCCCAGACCCCCCTGATCCGAGGAGATGGTAAGCAGCCGGACCCACAGGCAGGCGGGCGGGCGGGAGAGGCTCCAAGCCAGTGTCTGGAGCCCACCGGATCTCAGGACTCGGCTCCTGCTCCAACCGGGGCAGGTGGATGAGATGACCTTCGAGCACCCCCTAAGAACTTCTGCAATTTCTTGTGAGAGACCCTGCCCCTAGGGACAGAGGCAAATTGTGGGGTGCACGGTGCCAGCTATGCCTCAGTCCCTTCCTCCCCTACCGGCCCCCAGCTCTGGAGAGGTCCTGCCTTCAGCAACCCCTGGACTGCGATGACATCTACAGCCAGGGCTACCAGGCGGACGGTGTGTACCTCATCTACCCTGAGGGGCCCAGCGTGCCGGTGCCCGTCTTCTGCGACATGACCACGGAGGGCGGGAAGTGGACGGTGAGTGGGAGGAGGGAAGCGGCCTGTGACAGGCTGAGCCTCTGGGAGCCCCGATTTCTCCGTCTCTGTCCCGAGGCGTGGGTTGTAAGCTGCTGTTGGCAGTGACCCCCTAATAGCCTCGGAGGCAGGCTCCTTATAAAGGCCTGAAGCCCAGGGCAGTGAAGTAACTTCAGCATCACAGGGCAGCACGGACTCCCCTGGCGTCGGAGGCCGCCCCACCCTCCTCCCAGCTCTCAGCAGCTGCTCGAGGGGTGCAGAGCGCATGGCTTGGGGCCCCGCTTAGGTCTTTAACAAACACCTTCGCACCTCAGGGCCCAGACCTGGGGGAGCCCCTGTCCCCTGGACCCTGAAAGCTCAGGCCTGTCGTCTCCGCTCCAGGTTTTCCAGAAGCGATTCAACGGCTCCGTGAGCTTCTTCCGGGGCTGGAATGACTACAAGCTGGGCTTCGGCCGCGCCGACGGGGAGTACTGGCTGGGTAAGGCGGGGCCCAGGCAAGTGGGGGGGCCCCCAGGCCAGCACCAGGCTGACTGCTGCCTCCACCACAGGGCTGCAGAACCTGCACCTCCTCACGCTGAAGCAGAAGTACGAGCTGCGCGTGGACCTGGAAGACTTTGAGAACAACACAGCCTATGCCAAGTACGCCGACTTCTCCATCGCGCCCAACGCCATCAGCGCCGAGGAGGACGGCTACTCCCTCTATGTGGCCGGCTTCGAGGATGGCGGTGCAGGTACCCTCCTGGCGGGCAGAGGGATGGGGGAGGCGGGCTGTCCCTGACCCCCAGTGGCCCCCCTTCCCTCCTGGCCAGGAAGGGTCACAGCTGGCTCCAACCAGCCCCGCCCATCGCCTCGGAGCAGCTGCTTCTCTTTGCAGCTCAGCACCCAGCTCTGGCTCGGGAAGGGCCCCGCCCTCCCCTAAGCTCAGCCTCCACGCCATCCCTCTTCCCGCCAGGAGACTCCCTGTCTTACCACAGCGGCCAGAAGTTCTCCACCTTCGACCGGGACCAGGACCTTTTCCTGCAGAACTGCGCGGCCCTCTCCTCGGGCGCCTTCTGGTTCCGAAGCTGCCACTTCGCCAACCTCAACGGCTTCTACCTGGGGGGCTCCCATCTCTCCTATGCCAACGGCATCAACTGGGCCCAGTGGAAGGGCTTCTACTACTCCCTCAAGCGCACCGAGATGAAAATACGGCGGGCCTGAGGCCGAGGCCTGGCCCCAAGGCCGCGCTCCTGGCTGCTGGCCTCCGGGAGTGCTTCCCTGCTGGGCCTGCGTCCCCCCAGTACCCCCTCCCTGTCAGCCCTGCTTGTTAACAGCTCTAGCCCCAGCTCACCCTGCCACACCAGGCATCCCCGGAGCCAGGCCTATTCCCTCCACCCGAGGCGAAGCTGCCAGCCAGTTCCCAGGCCTCCTCTGCCTCCGCTCAACCCCCAGCCACGAGCTGCTGGCCCAGGCGGCAGGCTGGTGCTCCCCTTAGCCAGCCTCCTTCCCACCTGCATGGCCGCCATCACCACACCCTAGCACCGCCCTGGCTGTTCTCAGAGAATGTCTCACCTTCGCTTCCTTCCTCCCACCACCTTCTCTAGTGGTGAGCACCGCGGGCCCCTTGCCCCATCTGTCACCTTAGCTTCCCTGCTTCCTGCCCCAGGCCTCCAAAGCTCTGCCCAAACTGTATTTCACCACGGCTACTGCGCGCCCCAGCCCTCCACCCCGAACAGCCACAGGCCGGGCAGGCTTAGATGAGGTCCGCCCGGGCCCAGGCTGCAGTCTGGCCACGGGAGGAGCACAGGACGAGGTCGCAGGCTGGAGGCAGGAGGGGAGAGGAGGTCTCAGCCTCAGGACGAGCGAGTGGGCCGTGGCTGTTGTGCGTGCAACTGCATCTGCTGGCCCCCGAATGCGGGGCCTGGCTCCTCCTTCTCCTCACTGACAGCACCCACCCTCCACCCCACAAAGACACCCGAGTTAGCACCAGAGAGAACCTTCTATTTCACAGGCCTCATTTTTATGGCAAAGAGAATGACTAATAATAAAATTACATAATAAAAATAGAATACTGAGAAGGATCGCCCGGGGAGTAGGGGCTTCCTGATCCTGTCATGGCTCGGTGGTGGCTCAGGTGGCTTCTTAAGGCTGTGGGGTGGTCTCAGCGGAACCTCCGGATGATCCCAAGCCAAGCGTCCCCTGCCGGGCCTGGGGCCTGGGTCTTCCCCGGCATCAGGCACGGGCTGCGGGCCTCAGGGCTCCTGGAGGTCAGGCAGGTCAGCCAGCAGCATCGGGGAATCCATCTGGATCTCACGCTGCAGAGACTCGATGTCAGAAGGGTTCATGCCGTGGCCCTCGAGCCAGTCAGCCAGCAGGGAGGCTGAGAGTGAGGCGGAGTCCGTCTGGCTGCAGGGAAAGGGGAGCAGGGAGAGTTGTTACTGGGTCTGGCTACCCCTCCCCCACAGGCACGTTCCTCCTGCACCAGGAACCCAGCTCTGCTCGAGTTCAGTCCAGACAACTCACCCGTCCTGTGGCCCATCCGCCACACCCATATCGAAAGACTGGTTTAGGAATTCTTCCAGGTCAAAGCCAACACCATAACCAGCCCCGCTGCCCTTTGGAGTGCCTGAGAACGCGGGGGGCAAAGGGTCCTCCACCTGCAGGGCATATTGGCAGGTTACAATGCAGGCACCACCAAGAGCAGATGTAGGCCTGCAGGGAGCCCCTGACCCGATAATGCCCTGTCCAAGACTCTGCTGGATGCCCGCCCATGGGTACCAGTGCCAGCCTCGACAATCCCTGCGAGCTGGCGGGGGCCCATCTCCAGGCCGGGCCCTTCCTGGGGAGCATCGCATTTATCTCTCAGCCACCTGCTCATCAGCATTATGCTCCTCCTAAGAGCACGGGCACACGTGCAGAGATAAAGCCTCTGCTGCTCACTTTTCATGGAACAGGACACACCACCCACAGCGAAGACTTCCCATCCCGTTTCCCTGGGCCCGGGTCCAAGGGTCTGCACGGCCCGGCTCCTCTCTCACCTGAGACTTGGACAGCTGCTGGGTCACCAGGTTGACATCGGGTGACTCTGAGGTGGAGGGTTGAGGGACCCCCCTGGGGTCTGGAGGGGGTGGGCCAGATGGGAAGTAAGGCAGAACACCCAGGGTGCTGGAACCAGGCATCCCAGGGGGTGGCACTAGCGCCTGGGGGGCCAGGAGGCCGGAGGTGGTGGCGCTGGTCTGGAGTGCAGCAGGGCCAGGGCCAGGCCTAGGAGGGCCAGCAGGGTGGGGGGCAGGGCCAGGGGCTGGGCAGGTGGGCTGTGGTGCAGGACCAGGGGGGGCGCCTGCAGGTGGCGGTGTCGGTCCAGTGGGCTGGGCTACAGAGCCAGCAGGACTGGGGGGCTGGGCTGGCGGTGTTGTTCCTGGAGCAGGGGCGGGGGCGGGGGCTGGGGGCTGGGCCATCCGAGTCCAGCGCTCCAGCAGGCTGCGGTCATTGTCACTCAGCACCAGCCCCGCCAGGGGGTCGGTGGAGGGGCCCCCAGAGGCCCCAGCCCCTCGCTCCTTGCGCTCCCGCTCCTGCCGCCGCTTTTCCCGCTCCTTCGCCCGCTCCTGCCGCCGCCGCCGCTTCTCCTCCCGCTCGCGCTGGCGCTCCTGCGCCGTCACTGGCTTCCGGGGCTCGGGTGCTTCCGGGGGGGCACTGGGCCCATCTGCGGGGAAGTCGGACAGGGGGGAGGTAAGAGCCTGTGGCCCTGTGCAAGCCCAGCGTCCCTCTCCGGCCGCCCCCTCCCCCAGGCAGCGGCGGCGGCTCCTGGAAGGCACCTCGGAGCCGGCTCCGCAGGGACTTGAGCAGGGCAGCTTTGAGGGCGGCTTTGGTGTTGTCTGAGATGGCGCCCTCCCTCTTCGGAGGGGCTGGCTCACTGGCCAACGCGGGGGGTGGCTGCAGGGCCATGTCAATGGTGTCAGGTGCAGGGCCGGGGCACGGCAGTGGAGCTGGCGGAGGCGACTCCATGGCACAGTCCCCACTGGGAGCCCAGGAACTGGGCATCTCAATGTCGGGGCAGCTGGGCTCACTGGCCACTGGCTGCAGAGAAGGCTGGAAGCGGATCTGCTGGCGGATGCCCTCGCGCCGGGCATGGAAGTCCTCAATCTCAGCCACAATGGCCTCCTTAATCCGCTCCCGGGTGAGGGCTTCCCGGTCAAAGGCGAAGTCAAAGGGCGGGGCACAGTCAGGCTCATCATCGGGGTCATGGTACTTGGCCAGAAAGGGGTGGCGAAGCGCAGCAGCTGCCGACATGCGGGCACTGGGCTCAAAACGCAGCATTCGCCCCAGCAGCGAGAGGGCCTGGCGGTCAGCACCGGGGTACACTGTCTCCCAGGGCACAGGCTGGCGTGGTGGCAGACTCTGGATATATGCCCGTACCCTTTCAGCCCCTACGGCCTGAATCACAGCTGGCGACGGGGTACCCAGCACCATCATGATCAGCTGCAGCTGGTGCACATAGTTCTTGCCTGGGAAGAGCTGGCGCCTGGCCAGCATCTCACCAAAGATACAGCCCACGGACCACAGGTCAATGGCCTGCGTGTACTCATGCAGGGACAGCATGAGCTCGGGGGCACGGTACCAGCGCGTGGCCACGTATTCGGTCATGAAGTACTGATGCTCAGCAGGCGAGGTGCACAGGCCCCGCGCCATGCCAAAGTCACCGATCTTGAGCTCACAGTTCTCGTTCACCAACAAGTTGGAGGGCTTGAGGTCACGGTGGATGACCTGAGCTGAGTGCATGTACTTGAGGCCCCGTAGCAGCTGGTACAGGAAGTAGCGCACGTGCTCCAGTGTGAGCGGCTGCGAGGAGTGGATGATCTGGTGCAGGTCACTCTCCATCAGGTCCAGCACCACGTAACTAGAAGGGACAGGGAAGAGGCATGGCTGTCTTGCCCACATTCCAGCCCCAACCTCACCATGCCCTCCTGACTCCAGACATGGAAGGGCCTTACCCTCAGATTCTGTAGGGGCCAACAGCATGGTATAAAGATCCTAGAGTCTCTACAGTTTTTCCATGAACTTACAAGAATTAAAGCCCTTTCTCTCCAGACCTATTTCTCCATGAGAGAAAAGATGAGGTCAGACTAAACTAGGGCTGGCCAATAGTTTTCGTTTGGCAGCAAACTCCATTATTTGGGAGTGGCTGCTTGAAAGACTATGATGAAAACTGTGGTACCCTGTCCATTTTCTATAGGAAAGTGTTCTGTGATTGACTAGTGATGTCTGCTGTGGGAAAAGGAGAGTGTGGTTATTTGCCATCCCGTAGACTGAGTCTATAAAACTGTAACACCTGTACTTTTCCTGAGGAATCACAGTTGTCCCTGAGAATGCCCTAAGGCAGTGGTTGGCAAACTCATTAGTCAACAGAATGACAAACCTCGGCTGGAGAGCCATAGTTTGCTGACCACTGCCCTAAGGGAACACTGGTCCTGGAACTGTGGGAATTTTCCAGCTGTCCTTCCAGAACTGTGGCAATCCTGTCCAGCCTTCAGAAAACATCCCCATCCAGCCTCCTCTCCCAACACCCCTCCTTACACAGATTTGAACTCGCCGTAGGGCACAGTGGGCCTCAGGATGTCCTTGATGGCGATGATGTTGTCATGCTTGAAGTGTTTGAGGATCTTCAGCTCCCTGAGGGTCCGCTTGGCATTAGTCACCACATCAAAAGCATTAGGGATCTTCTTAATGGCCACCTGCTGGCCTGGGAGCAGAGGAAGGCAGGTACTGTAAGGTACCTGGGCAGCTGCAGTGGCACAAGGCCGCCTTCAACACCTCCCATCCAGGATGCAAGTAACAACAGCGTGCACTTGGCCACAGGCTGCGCCCGTAGAGGGGCTGGTGCAGGGGTGGGGGCTGGGGTCAGGAGTGACCAAAGGAGCAGCCACATACTGAATAACAGCAGCTGTTATAACTGTATACTGAGCACCTACTAGTACAAGCCCTCTGTGCTAAGCACTTTACATACATGATCAGGTTTTCCCTTCTCATCCATCTCCTGAGACAGTTACTAGTAGCTCAAAGTTACAGATGAGGAAATCTCATCTCAGAAACTTATTGGAGGTTGCATAGCTAGTTAGTGGTAGTCTAGACTCCATAATGCCTGTGCTCTTTCTACCTCCCTACCTCTACCCAGCACATGATCTCCAACCTGGTCCAATCGGGACTGTCATTTTTCTGAGGAGGATGTCAGCTGTAAAACCATCATGGCAGAGTCTCTGAGACCTGTGCCCAACACAGAGCCTGGCACCCAGATGGCACCTAACCCATGTTTGACTTAAACCAGAATCTGCATCCCAGCTTTCCTTCCTGGCTGTCTGAGATGGGGCAGCTTTCTCGCTCTGGGGAAGTGGTTTCCACATCTGGGAACAGTACACCTAGGGAAGCTTACCGGTGAGGCGCCGGCGCGCAGAGGACACCACCCCGTAGGCCCCGTTGCCTATGGTCTCGATGATCTCGTACTCGTCCCCCACGTCAAAGGTCACATCCAAGGAGCGAGCTTTCAGCAGGGCCAGGTTCTTGGCCGCTACAGAGGCAGCGGTGTTGGCCGGTTCTGCTTTCACTGGCCCGGGGGGCTCCCCAGAGCCGTCCTCGCCGTCTTCCTCCTTCAGGGGCTCGGCCATGGCGCCTGCGTGAAAACACTGGTGAGGCGAGGCGAGGCCCGCCCACTAGGACCTCAGTTTCCCCTCTGAGGCTGGGGAGCAGGACCAGGAAATTTCCAAGTTCCTTAAGCCGACGGAGACCGAATAGGAGGCAAAGGAGGGTGGCTGCACGTGGGAGGTGTCCACGCCGGGACTCGGAGCTCAGGGCTCAGGTCCGGTGAACGCAGGAGCGGGTGGGGGAGGCGCCCGAGGCGCGGTCCAGGAAGAAAGGGAGGGGCGGGGCACCGGCTGTCCCCGGCTCACACTCACCGATCGCGCCTCACCGACGCCCCTCGGGCTCTCGGAGGTCCCCGCGGGTCGCCGGCTTCTGGCCCAGTGGAGGGGACCTCAAAACTCACTTGTTCAAGGCCACCGCCACCACCTCATCGTCGCGCTGTGCCCCTCTGGGCCCTCCGCCCCGCCTCCCAAGACCACGCTCCCTCCAGCCTCTGGCCAATCTCCGGTGGGTTCTGCGGAGTTCCCACCCCCTCTGTCTGCTTCGCCCAATACGAGCCCAGCTACCGAGGAAGCCACGCCCCCAACCCCTCCCCTCCGCTCGCCGCTGTCCAGCTCCCGGGCGGACGCCGCCCAGGGTGCGCTCGGCTCTCGCAGGGGTGTTCTCGGCGGCCTCAGCGCATGCGCGCAGGCAGCCCCGGCCAGGCTGAAAGGGAGGCCACGCCCCGTGCGTGCGCGCGCGTCCCGATCCGCCGGGCGTGGGCGGGTGGCCCCGGGCCTGGGGCGCCGGGGGCTGAGGCGCCGGGCTGTCCCGGGGCGGCTCTCGGAACCCCCTCTTGCAGGCCCGTCTCCGTCGTCAGCCCCGTCGCTCGGGGATAGTGCCCGCCATTTTCCCGTCCTCGAGGAGCCGGCTCCGGGACCCAGCATCCCACTGAGGGAATCCGTCACGTCCACGCAGCCTCCCGGGCCGGGATTCTAGAGCGGCCAGCCCGAGGCGCCGCGTTCTCCCGGCCCGGCCCTCCTAGCGGCCCGGCGACGCTGGGCTCTTTCCGGCTCCGGGCGTCCCCTGGCGGCTCTTCCCACGGCCGCGGGCTCTGCGGGCGGCGGAGCGGGTTGTGGGCAGGGCCGTGCAGCCTCGCGCCCCGGAGCCCGAGGGCGGAGCCCGCCTGGAGCTCAGTCCTCCGTCGGGTCCGAGGCAAAAGCTGGGCTGGCCCGAGGCGGCGGGTGGGCCGGAGGGGAGGCCCCGGGAAGGTCGGCGGAGGCGGGTGTCACCCGGTGGAAGGAAAGGGGGACAGCGGGGAGGTCGGCGGGGCTTTGCCCGAAGCGGACGCGCTGGTCCCGAGGGGCTGAGGCGCTGGGTTCCTCCTCGCTCACACAGGGCGGAGGGCGGATCCTGATGGAATGAGTTTCCCTAAGCCTCTACCTACGCTTTTCCAACTTTTCCTTTTGTTTATACTCCCCACTATTGTGGGTTTTAAATTTTTTTTTTATTAAAACATACAGAAAGTGCCATAATTTTCACCAACTTAATATGCCGGGGTATTGAATTCAGCTGAAAGAAAAACACATTAAAACACACACACACCAGCCCTTCAAAGACCCTCCCTTTCCTGGTAGTGACAGTGTTATCGCAGAACAGCGTGGACGGGCTTCCTCCGTTTCCGGTGGGACTGGGGCTCTCGGGGTACCGCTGGAATACGCATTTTTGGAGGCGCCCCTGGTAGGAGGAAATTGGTAGGAAGCTTTATTTCTGTGGAATTGCAGCGTAGGTTTACACAGTCCCATTTCCCGTCAGCTAATCCTGGAGGATGAGAGCTATAGTAGAAGCAAAGCCGGTGTCCAGTTCCCTTTCCTGGGGGCGTGGTCCCATGGGCTAGGTGCAGCCCTTAGTCCTCCTGTGGTGTCCAGGAGAGCGCCAGAGCCACGAGGGCAAAAGCACAAAAGAGAAAGCTCCTGTTTAGGAGATTAAATATCTCTCAGCCCGGCCAGTGTGGCTCAATGGCTGAGCATTGACCTATGAACCAGGAGATCACCAGTCTGAGCAAATGCCTGGGTTATGGGCTCAACCCCCAGTAGGAAGCGTGCAGGAGGCAGCCAATCAATGATTCTCTCTCATCATTGATGTTTCTCTCTCTCCCTTCCTCTATGAAATAAATTTTAAAAATATATTTTTAAAAACTAGTAAATAGCCGAAATCGGTTTGGCTCAGTGGATAGAGGGTCGGCCTGCAGACCGAAGGGTCCCAGGTTCGATTCCAGTCAAGGGCATGTACATTGGTTGCGGGCACATCCCGGGTGGTGGGGTATACAGGAGGCAGCTGATCGATTTTTCTCTCTCATCGATGTTTCTAGCTCTCTATCCCTGTAAAAAAAAAAAATCAATAAAATATATATTTTTTAAAACTAGTAAATAAAAATAAAACTCTCAAATTATCCTGAGCTTACAGTGGCTACACCTACTCTGACTGATGACCTGTTACCGGGTGTGACTGACAAGTACCTTCTGGCACCCAGACTTCACTGGGCATGCATCTGTTCTGGGCTGTCCAGTCCCTCCCCCAGCGACCTGCAGGGGGAATAGGCCTGTGCTTCCTGGGGAGTGTGAAGTTGCAGCTTCCTGGCTAAGCTGCACAAGTGGGGTGCCCATATGTGGCCTTCCCCCTGCTCCTTGTCTGTTATTAGTAACTACGTTGAATTACAATGGTAACAATACTTTTTGTTAACTCTTCCACACTTTTTTTTTTTGCATTGAATTTTCAGAGTTTTATTGGGATACATTGTCAAAGGAAAGTAGATACTACATTTTAAAAAAATCAACATTAGAAAAAATATATTTAGGAGTACAAGTCAGTATCAGTATTAGAACAAATAGATATCTAGTATTTATACACCTAAAGATCAGCCCTAGCCAGTTTGGCTCAGATTCAGCCTGTGGACTGAAGGATTCGGGGTTGGATTCTGGTCAGCGGCACATGCCCGGGTTGTGGGCTTGATTCCCAGTAGGGAGTGTGCAGGAGGCAGCTAGTCAATGATTCTCATTGATGTTTCTATCTCCCTCTCCCTCTCCCTTCCTCTCTGAAATCAAGATATTTATATATCGATTATATATTGATTATATATAATAAAAAAAAGAGATCATATGAGCCTCCTGAGTTAAAGTTGAACTACAGTGGAACCTCAGTTCTCAAATTTAATTTGTTCCAAAGGCTGTTTGAGAAGCAGTTTGTTTGAAAACGGAATCATTTTTTCCCATTAGAAGTAATATAAATTGAATCAGTCCATTCCAGACCCTCAAATGATTCCTAATAAACACTTATTAAATTTATTGAGTTACCCCTACTAGCCTTAAACAAATTTTTAATATATCTGCTACTGAAATGCTGTCACCAGCTCCTTTTCGTTTATCCAGTCACCAGCAGTTTTTCGGTCTGTTTCCTTGGCAGTGCTGTTTTGGTGAGCACTTTCAAAGCTTTAGCACCATGAGCACCTTGGTTGTCTCTGTTTTAAAATTGTGCTAACCACCGAGACCGGTTTGGCTCAGTGGATAGAGCGTCGGCCTGTGGACTGAAAAGTCTGGTCAGGGGTATGTACCTTGGTTGCAGGCACATCCTCAGTGAGGGGTGTGCAGGGGGCAGCTGATCGATGTCTCTCTCTCATCGATGTTTCTAACTCTCTATCCCTCTACCTTCCTCTCTGTAAAAAATCAATAAAATATATATATATATTTAAAATTGTGCTGACCATTCTCCGCGGTTTGTGTCCTGCTGTGGCATCAGCATGAAAGACTTGTCAGGCCCAGAAAAAGTTTTGGTCCACAACCAAGGCATTTTTTTTGTGAACAACTTGGTTGAGAACCGAATTGTTCCAGATGGGAGACCTTCAAGAAATGAGGTTTGACTGTATAAGATTTGTTACTGATTTTCCTGATAGCATAGCAAAAAGCCAAACTATCAGTTACATGATTGACCAGGAAGAAACCATCCCTGTGGGAAGTGATCGTTTTGTATCACTGAGGCCTGAACGTAACTTTGGATGGCTTTTCTACAGGTGACACAGTAGATGGTCTTCCCCAACTGTGGAATGTGTGCAACGGGGCCTATGGTGCCCTCCGGGGTAAGCAGAGGTGTACAAACGGAGGACGCATAAGCACATCTTTTCAGGAAACAAAGTGGACAGTTATGTGATGGTTCTGTCTGATCCAGGAACAAAACATAAAATATCAGAAGAAACTCAAAAACTGTGCTTTAAATTCTACTCTAAATAAATAAATAAATACTACTCTATAAGTACTTCAGCGAGGTTCTTTATACAAGTTACAGAGTTCAACATTCCTCTGGCAAAACTTGCTGATCCTCATCGACTTTCCACCGGCTGTGAGCCGCTCTGCTCTGCCCCCACCAGGCCTGACTCCTGCAGAAGTCCTCAGGCCCCTACCTATATTCAGATGCAGTGGACATTCTGTCGTTGGCCCCCTGAGCTCTGCTACATGTGCCACAACTGACCACGTCTTAAGAAAAAATTGTTCACCTGGTTCAAAAAGGCTTACGTGAAAAATCTTGGTCCCCCCCTAGGGGCCACGTTTATAGTTTCTTCCTGAAAGTAAGAAACAGGCAATATAAATTAAACACAAACAAATACTAATCCACATTCTTACCCACTTCCCCTTTAATATACACAAGGTACCATTTTACATACTTCTTCTGAAGATCATTAGGTATCAGTAACCAGAGAGTTCTCTCATACTTTCTATTTATTTATTTATTTATTTATTTATTTATTTATTTATTTATTTATTTTTATTGATTTCAGAGAGGAAGGGAGGAGAGAAAGAAAAACATCCGTAATGAGAGAGAATCCTTGGTCGGCTGCCTCATGCTGCCTCATGCATGCCCCACAATGGGGATCGAGCCCACAACCGGACATGTGCCCTGATTGGGAATCAAACCATGACCTCCTGGTTCATAGGGCGATGCTCAACCACTGAGCCATGCCGGCGGGGTTTATTCTTTTTTCATAAGAGCTGTTTTG